TTACCCCAGCCTTCCTCTCACCTCTGCTAGCTTTTTTGTCTCCCTTGATTTTGGGAGGCTTCTCCCAAAATGATCCCCATTTGACGGGTGGGGAAACCCAGCCTGAGGTGCTACATGGGGGAGCTGGGGTGTGACCCCAGATCTGATTCCAAGATGCATTTGTCTCCTCTAGACCTCACCAACTTTCCAGTCTCACTCTGGAAGAACAGGAGACCAAGGAAAGAGATGCTGAATCCCTGTGTGATTTCCTTGCTGTCCTGGCTGTGACCAGAGGGAACTGGATTCTAGAGTCAGGTTGCCTGGGCTTGAATCCTGGCCCCTTTTACTCACCAGCTGTGGGACCTTGGGCAGGGGACTTAACCTCTCCGAGCCTCAGTTTCCTCATCTGCCAAATGAAGATAATAAGAGTACCTCCCGCACAGGTTGTTTTTTAAAACAATTTTATTTATTTATTTATTGGCTGCGTTAGGTCTTCGTTGTGGTGCACGGGCTTCTCATTGTGGTGGCTTGTTGCAGAGCACGGGCTCTAGAGCACATGGGCTTCAGTAGATGTGGCGTGTGGGCTCAGTAGTTGTGGCTCGTGGGCTCTAGAGCGCAGGCTCAGTAGTTGTGGCTCGTGGGCTCTAGAGCGCAGGCTCAGTAGTTGTGGCTCATGGGCTTTGTTGCCCCTCGGCACGTGGGATCTTCCTGGACCACGGCTCGAACTCGTGTCCCCTGCATTGGCAGGCGGATTCTTAACCACTGCGTCACCAGGGAAGCCCCACACAGGTTTGTGAAGGGGGATATAAAGAGCACTTAGAATGGTGCCCAGCTCGTAATATGGTGTATCAGGTGTCAGAAAGTTACATTTTTATCATTCATTTCCTCTCTAGTTTGGACCTGTCTAGGATCTGGGGAAAGAGCTCAATAACTGTCCCAGAGCTCAGCCTCCATGGAGATCCATGGGCAGCTTTCGGGCTGGGGGAAGAAGAGCTTTTTATCAGGCTTTCAACCCTGACCTTTGTAGGTAAGCGAATGCCAGAGACCCAATGAGAGCTTCCCCCTTTTGGGGAGAAGGAAAAGGAAGGGCTGGAAGTGAGGCAGCCACTTGTGCCCAGCCGTCAGCTCCCCTAAAGCTGGCTGTTCCCCCCTCCACTTAAAACACACACACACACACACCCCTGCCCCAGACTGAGAACCAGGTCAGCCTATTCGGGGAGAGGCAGCAAGCCACGCGCCATGTGTAAGGCACCCCATTATTTGTGCCTGGAGCCCAGCACTGCAAGTTGGGGACCCCGTTTGAGCCCTGGCACCACCACCACTGCTCTGAGACCTTGGACCAGCCCCATCCGTTCTGGGCCTCAGTCTCCCCATCGGCAAAGAGGGCAGCCCCAAGCGTCCAGACTCAGAGCTCTCCCTGACAAGAGGGCAAAGGGCCACCCACCTCCCAGTGGCTTCCCCACCATGGGTAAAGTTGTCCAGCCTCCTGTCTGTCTCTGGCTTCATCTCCTCACTGTCCATTCCTTCTTCAAGAGGCCCTCCTTTTTTTTTTTTTTTTTTTTTT